CCCCAAAACCCCAAAACCCCAAAACCCCAATAACCAAATATTTTCATGCTTGGGGTAAAAGAAAATTGATATTTAAATGTTTTATCATTATTACTAATTGTCATCATCATCTCCATATCTTGGTGATTTTTTTAGTTATTGATATATCTCCTCGTCCCCATCGTCTCCCTTTACATCCATCTTATCTATTTAATTGTAGCCTTATTCTTTTTCAGCGCCAACATGCTAACTACTACTTTACTTATGCACATATTGAGAGATATTTTTTACTGAGAAATTAACCACTGTTCGCCCGATTTGCACAGCTTTATTAAATCCGGGGATTAGTGGTGTCTTCTTCTTGATAAGTACTAATGTGCCAAATTTTGACATATTGTCTTCCAATAGGAATCTACCGTCCTTATATTTAATCATGGCATGGAGTCTAGAAACTGAAATGTCATTTATTCTCAGGTCAGAATCGTGACCCCTTCCCATTTTGAACACATCTTTTGCCTAACTAGGCTTGATAATGTGTACAATTCTGGAGGTATTCTTTTCCTGATTCAAGCTCTCAAGAACTAGATAGCTTGTTTGAGGTCTTTCATAACCTACCAAATGATAGTTCTGATCATTCGATTTAATCATGAGTGGATAAGCTTTTTTACAAATTTCACACTCAAATGATTTCCAAAAAATGGAGGTAAAATTCTCCCCGCTCTTTACATTTTTCTTAGACTCTAGCCATTGCTTGAGGCAGTTGTAATGAATAAAGCCTACTGTACCAATACACTTGCAACAACTGATTAGAGGATTATTTTTATCAATCGAAGCAGACCAACAGATTTTACATGTGCTGATCTCCTCTTAGAGGGCTTTTTGAGTAAGTTCATCCTCGGTCATATCATACCAGATGCTTTCGACTTTTTCAAATTCAAAGAATTCCTCATCATCAATGGACTCAACATTTGCATGTCGAATCACTTTCTGATTAGAACTTTCATCAACCTCCATGCTTGTGTCAACAAGTGCGATTTCTTTAACAGCAAACTTTATTCTACCTAGCTTTACTATATCTCCTTTTTGAAGTGTATACTCAATCTTCTGATTGTTGTGTTTCAGACTTCTAACTACAAGATACATATGTTCATTTAATTATCTAGACATCTCACCCATATTTTACTCCATTTGAACTTCCTCTTTTTTGTTGGTAGGAGAGGCATTCCCTATTCCATTTTACAAGCAAGTGACAGATTCAATGTAAAAGCAATCTATTAAATTCATCAAAAGTCTGATCACGACAGTTTAGTCTTTTTATTATGATAGAAATTATTTATGACTTGACTTACCTTCCTCATTTATGATATTTAAAAGAGGTTTTGACTCTGCTTCAACGGTCGCTTATCCAAAGTCAGCGTTGGTGACTTTGTCAATTGGTAGTGGATTTAGCTCTATATTATTCTGTTTTCTGACCAATTGCGCTTCATTATTGGTCTTCATAGTATTTTTAGTTAAATGCCTACTTTCATAGTCAAAAAGTCCGTGCGAATCACGAGCCCATGTAATTCCTTTCATGAGAACTCTACAAAATATTGGGTTAATTTCAAAGTTCTATGCGGAAAATATATACTATCTCAATCATCATGGATTAAATTGACTATGAGAAACCCCCTCAAGACAAATTGGTTCTAGTGAGTATTTTCTCTTACTTACATATGAGAGATGAAATTGCATTTTTATTGAGATTAGGAATAATGCTGGGACAAAGTTGAGGCCTCAGTTTACTAGCTATATGTACCTAAGCCCATACTATGTTTGTTATCCATGATTTGTTTAGAAATTTTAAATATTATTGTAATTAGTTAATTTAGAAAAATTAATATTCTACTTTACTTAAAGATAAACTAATAGCAATTCTTTTACTTAAATTCATAACTTAAAATTTATATCACTCTTACATATTGTCACATTCTGTATTATAATTCTGTATCATTTTGACAAGTGTTTTGATCCATTATCCTATTCTCCGACTTGGTCTGCCATCTACAGACTTGAAGGTCAAATGCTCTCCAGAAATTTTTACCAAGGTAAATCTATCGATTCTTTGACTTGACAACTCCCTTTCATCATATTCAAATTACTTGATCTCCTCTAGTTACAGAGAATGAGTTCTAGGGTAATCTTAATCCACACTATAATAATTAATTGTTCCTTTCCCTAGAAGCTATACTTAAAACTCCTCATTATCGAGCTCAGCAATCTTCATATTTTCAGTAATAAGAACCTTATTCTTGCTTCCTGGTGATATTTTAATGCTATTTTCAATTGAATTTTCCATCTGAGTTTGAATCTCAATACTTTGCTCTTCTTCATTTTAAGTTTCTACTAATCTTGAATTTATTCTGGTGCTCGTTCTTGAACTTTTCTGATTTTTAGGAGTTGATTGCAAAGTTGTCCCTTGTGTGATGCTTTGTATTCCTAGGTTCTTTAAACTGTCTTATTTTAGCAATTCAATATTAGATTGATACTTATTAGAGAGCTGAATCTTATCATTAATAAATTTGAGGACAAGCTCCCTTCTCTTTCTTGGGCTCAGCCTTTTAACTTTCTCTTGCGATAGTGATTAAGAACTAGCTTTACCTGGAGATTCACTAGAACTCGACAAGGGATTCATCTTCTTACTGCTTGTGGGTGAAAATTCCTAAGCACTTTAACCGCTATAATCCCTTTAGCCTTCTTCATTTTCCTTAGATTAGAAGGAACTTTTGAGGCAGATGCTTATTTTAAGAATTGATGGTGATTTACTTTACTCAAGAATAGACACTTTGAAAGGGTCAATTATGGTTTCAACATGCTGTCTCTAGTTTGAGCAGCCAAGGAAATTTCCTTTAGTCTTATCGTAGTAGCAACAAATGTTTCCAATACTTTTCAAGCAATTTTAATTATGCTCATTTTGTGGTTTCACAGGCATTTGTTTCTATAGCTTCTGACTAGCTTATTCGTTTCCCATTAAAATTTAATTTGCCCAATAAAAATTTGTAAATTAAACTAATTCTCTTGAATATTTTAATAGTTTTCTGTTCATTTTAACTTTTAATACGAGATTACCAACTAAATATATTAATTCTCCAATCATAATTTAACTAATTAACTATATAAATAAGCATATTAATATGGTAAAGGTAAAGACTATTTGTAGAAACGAGAAAGAATATTAGAAACAGACTAATAATGACTTGCTGAAGGTATACAGAAATCCAACCAAGGCAATTTTGCATCCATTCTAAAAGGCAAGAGAATATCAAAGAGCGATGAATGCAGCAAAGCTAGAGAAAATATTTGCAAAGCCATTTATTGAAGCAATGAATGATCATTCTGATGGAGTCACAGTATTAGCCAAGAATAGATATAACCTAGTTGATGTGATATCAGGAAGTGCAGACGGAGAAATTATATATTGGAATATGGGTGAGAGGAAATCTAAGTTTATCATAAATGCTCATCACAACTTCGTAAGGGGTCTGTCTTTTGCTAACAATAAAGCATTGAGTGCAGATAGTATATTTGTGTCCTCAGGCGATGATAAGAAAGTTTAGATCTGGTCACTCTAGGGAATCAAAGCTTAATATGAGAAGAATGAGGGGCTAAAAGGATTTAAAAACTATACTCCAAGGGCTTCATTCTTGAGCAAGCATCTTCTTCATAATATAGATCATTCTTATGATTAGAATTTATTTGCAACATCTGGTTCAGTAGTGCAGATTTGGTCTTATGAGAGATCAACTCCATTGTAAACTTTTGAGTGGGGAGTTGACACAGTCACTAAAGTCAAGTTTAATCCTTCAGAGACCAATATAATAGCAAGTGTAGCTCTAGATAGAAGTATTGTTCTCTATGATATCAGAGGAAACACTGCTCTTGAAAAAATAGCCATGAAAAACAGATGCTCAGCTTTATGCTGGAACCCTTATGAACCAATGAATTTTGTTGTTGTAAGTTATCAACATTTCAATAATATTTCAGGGTAATGAAAATTCAAACGTCTATACTTTCGACATGAGGAAATTAGAATCTGCTAAGATGATTCACAAAGATCACATTCAGGCAGTCCTTGATATTGATTTCGCGCCAACTGGTAGAGAATTTGTGACAGCGAGCTTTGATAAAACCATTAGAATATTTCCATATAATGATGGCAGATCTAGAGAAGTGTATCACACAAAGAGAATGCAGCAGTATGACTTTTCCTTAATCATAGTCTATTTATAGGGTTAATGCTATCTTGTACTCAATGGACAATAACTTTATCATTTCAGGCTCTGAAGATACAAACATTAGAATTTGGAAGTCACACGCAGCTGATCCGATGAAGCCCATGCTTCCTAGAGAAAAGGAGAAGTTAGCTTACAATGAAAAGCTAAAGAAAAAGTATAAGTACAATCATGAGGTCAAGAGAATTCTCAGACATAGACACCTGCCTAAGTTTATTGTTAAGAAGAAGAAGGTCAAGCAAATTCAAAAGATTAGCAAGCACAAGAAAATAGAAAATATCAGAAAGAACAATAGATTAACAGATGCTCCATATATTCCAGATAGAAAGAAGGATTTGGATACTGTTTAGGATTGAAATCAGCAGAATAAGCAAACTGCCGTTGCAGTAACTGCTTATTAGAATTAATTAAGACTTTATTTATTTTAGTAAAATCTTTAGTAATATCCACTGTAAGATGATATTTGGTTCAATGGGGTTTTGGGGTTTTGGGG